GAGAGAGAGAGAGAGAGAGAGAGAGAGAGAGAGAGAGAGAGAGAGAGAGAGAGAGAGAGAGAGGGAGAGAGAGAGAGAGAGGGGTTCAAGTTTGGTTGTCACGTACCTGGAGATCGCTGTGCAGTCCAAGAAGAAGGAAGCGGCCATAGCCGCGGAGCTTACACCATGGAGTGACGAAGGAGGATGTGAGAGAGGACAAAGGTTGAGACTGAGAAGGGAGAGAGAAGCCATAGCCGAGGAGGCGAAGGGAGAGAGGATCAAAAAAAAAAAAAAAAAAAGAGAGAGAAAGCAGACAGCTGGGGTGAAGAGAAAGGAGGCGAGGAAGGAGAAAGGAAGAAGAAGGGTGGTGAGGAAGGAGAAGCCGGCCGCCATAGCTGACCGGAAGAGTTGACCAGACGTTGATCGGGGTTGACCGAGAGTTGATCGGAGGTGTTGACTGGCGTTGATCAGAGTTGACCGGAGGTTGACTGCAGCATTGACCGAGCGTTGATCAAGGCGTTGACCAAGATCGTTGACCACGATTTTGACCAAGCTGGAGCCGGTATATTCTCGCCAAGCCTTCAGCCTATCCCCTCGCCCTATGGATGTGCACACACCCTGTGGTACTTGCTGAAGTCAAGTCTGTTTGTCTCTTCTTTCTGCATTGAGTCTCTTCTGTCTAGGTGTAGGAACTTTGTGAATGAAGGATAGGGCCTCGTTGACCAAACCCCTGCCGGACTAAGTAGGGCTAAAGACTGTCTGACGACTCTACTGTTCCGGAGGACACGAACCCTGCCAAGGACCGGTACAGACCGGCGGGCTGCTCGGTGTGGCACGGTAGGCCCGAAAAGATGAGCTGCGTGCTGCACAACAGGCAGTCCAAGTGTTGAGAGACCTGCTGATCGCGTCGTCCTGTTTGCAACGTTAAAGAATTCCTGAGGAGTTACGGGGGATCTCCTTAAATGCCTCCTGATCAGCACCAGGTCTAGTAGTGACAGCCGTAGAGTAGGTCCAGGCCAGCGACCATAGTTGACAGGATCCTGTTCGGATTCTGTAAGTCTTAGATTGAGTCAGTAGGTGAGTCAGTCAGGGGGAGTAGAGCCTACGTGCTGACGAGTGGAACCGCTTGTCTGGTTGTGCACCTTCCACCATGGTTGACACCCGTACAGGGAAGAGTACTGCCCCCTCAGAGGTCGAGCAGGCCCGGATTGCCGCCCATTTGAGAGAGAAGAGAGAAAAGGAGCTCTTGAAGCAGGCAAAACTAAAGGCCATTGAGGAGGAGGAGGCGACGCAGAAGAAAAGATTGGAGGAGGAGATGATGAGATTTCAAAAGGAGAAGTTGATGTTGATAGAGAGAGAGGAGGAAGCAGCAAGAGAGGTGGAAGAAGAGAAAGAAGTACCCCTCGAGAGAAGACGCAGAGAGGAGAGAGGGGAAGTCAGTGGCACGAAGGAGGATGACAGATGGAGGGAAAAAAAGATCAGCGAATGGGTGGCTAATTTATCTTTGGGGGAAGATGAAGAAGCAGAGTTGTATGTACGGCTAATTTATCTTTGGGGGAAGATGAAGAAGCAGAGTTGTATGTACCACAGGAAGAGAGAGAGGCGTTTGGCAGGGCAGTGGAGGTGATAGAAGACCCTGTGGAACGCCAGGAGACAGAAGATGAAAAGAAGTTGGAGTGGAAGCTAAAAATGACGAGGGAGAAGAAGAGGGGGGAGGAAGCGAGTAGAATAGCCGGGGAGGTTGAGCGTGTACGAACCCGCAGGCAAGTACTGCGAGCCCAAACAGAGGTTTCTGCCAAATTGGATAAGGTGATGGGCTTTCTAGAAATTCTGAGCGAGGCCTGGCTAGAACAGCACAAGGCCCGTAAGGGCCAAGATGTGACTCTGCAAGCGATGCGATCTGGGTTTAGGGAGTTTGTGGACGACGTGGTGGGCCACGTCGGGGCTGAGATAAGAAGACTGAGGGATGGCGTAGACAAGTTTTGCGCTGGCGCCAGCGAGACCGCCAAAGTCGTGGCCACGACAGAGGCCACGGCTCGCCCCCGCAAAGAGCCTGTTAAGTTAAAGTTCCCTGATCCATATAGCGGGAAGGAGGAAAACTTCGATAACTGGGAGGCCAGCATAAACACCTATGTCTTTTTACAGCATATTGCCCCCGAGGAGCAGGTCCTCGTTGCCTTCCATGCTCTAAAGGACGAAGCAGCTAGCTTCTCCAGGTCTCTCGCACGTGCCGCAGATTGCGAGCACAACATGATTGCGTACTCTAGACTTACCTCCCTCGCTGCTTTCCTCAAACTCCTGCGTGAGAGGTTTGCTGACGTCACTGGAGGCGTCAGGGCCTCTGACAAATTACAGACCATCCATTCGCGACAGTGGAGGAGTGCGAGAGCGCTCAAAGCTGCCATGGACGACTTGGTAGCCGTCCCAAACCACAGGGTCACCGAGACCCGATTGGTCCAGTTGTTTTATTGTGCCATCCCAAAGCTCTTACGAGGGCACTTCTTTGACAAAAGTCAACAGCCCACTATGACGTACGATGCGCTGAGTCAAGAGGTGGTGCTGTACGAGGCGCGGTCCATGCCAGTTACCACTTTCTGGCATAAGGACTTAGACAAGGGTAAAAAGTGGAAAGGTCGTACCATCTCTGGTCAGGTTAGGGCCAAGGATCACATGATCCTTACATTGGAAGAAGGTGGTACTGACGAGGTCCCCTAGAGTCAGATCGAGTGGGGCCTCGAGAAGGAGGATAATAGCCTGGGACAGGGGAGGTCCTATGCTGCTGTCGCGGCTGGAGGGAGGCCGCAAGGTAGAGGAGGAGGCCAGGGCCAAAGGGGCCAGGCCATGGGAGGCCGATGATCAGGCGCACAGGGGGTTGGCAGTGAAGGGAACCGTCAAGCGGGAGGTAGGGGTCAAGGTCCCCCGCCGAATCGTCAAGGGCCAGTCGGTCCCCACAGAGACGAGGTGGCAGGTCGCCTCAACGGTCATGAGGTTGGCACTCGGGTTGACCACAAGGTCGGCCCTGGGAGGATCTGGGCCTGGACCAGAATGTATGGCAACAGCGGATGGAGCAGGGGCAGTGCATTTATTGTTGTGACCCTGCCCACATCATAAAATATTGTCCCAAGTATAGACAGGCCCGTTGGGCTGCCCAAGAGTCAAAAGGCAGCCGTCGGTAGGGGTCGCAACTGCCCCTACTCTTAGGCCATGTGGGGAAGCGAGCGCGCGCGTAGAGCAAACTCCCACACCACATGAGCCTTCGGCAGAGGTTGCAGGCCCGTGCCTAGTTAGCTGTCCAGAGACTGCTTGTGTTAGTGTCTCTCTTGGCACATCCCTCACAGGCGTGGCAGAAGAATTGAAGGAGAGGGTGCCTGCCTGAGCCAAGATGAAGAAAGATAGTATTAGTAGATGTAGAGGTTTTCAGGAGTAGAGTTGGGGCCCTTATAGACTCAGGGGCTACCCGCAGTTATATTAGCCGTAGAGCGCTGAAAAAGTTGAGGCAAGGATTGAAAGTCCGGAAGTTAGAAGACCCCATAGTTAGTGTCCTCACAGACAACCGCACGATGCGAGTTGAGGACTACGTAGAGGGAGTCCAGGCGTACTTTCGCCTAGAGAAAAATGGGAAGGTGGAGAAAGTTCTCCATTCCCTGACTCTCCTCATACAGGATGACCTTCCATTTGACATAGTTCTAGGCATGGATTGGGGAAAGGCTGTTGGGGCCACACTCCACTTGAGAGAGCATGAGTGTAGGCTCCCTAGTCCGTCAGGCAAGATTAAGGCAGCCCGTTTGTTCCATGTGTAAGGAGTAGACAATTCGCTGGCACACTGCTGTCTCAGTGCTCCCGCGTTCGCACGATTAGTAAAGAAGGAGCAGTTAGAGGATCAGGTCTTCGTTGTATATGTAAGACATGTCACTGAGGCTAAGGAAGAAGTGACTTCCACAGATCCAGCCATTGCCAAGCTACTAGAAGAATTCAAAGACTTAGCTGAGCCGCCGATAGGGCGGCCAATCCAACACAAGATAGAGATAGAGCCTGGCAGTAGAACTCCTAAGGGAGCAGTCTACAGGATGTCCCCTAGAGAGTTAGAGGAGTTGCGCAAGCAGTTGGATGAGCTCCTTGAGAAAGGTTGGATCAAACCCAGTTCGTCTCCTTTTGGAGCACCAGTTTTATTTGTCCCCAAGAAGGAAGGAGAGTTGCGCATGTGTATAGACTTTAGGGGTCTAAATGCTATCACAGTCAAGAATGTCGAACCACTGGCCAGGATAGACGATCTCTTAGATCGGGTGTAGGGTTGCAAGTACTTCTCAAAGATGGATTTGAAGTCCGGGTATCATCAGATAGAAGTCCATCATGATGACCAGTACAAGACTGCGTTCCGGACTCGTTATAGGCATTATGAGTTCATAGTGATGCCCTTTGGACTGACCAATGCGCCAACGACATTTCAGCGATGTATGAATGATTTGTTTAGGCCTTGGTTAGATAGATTTGTCGTAGTCTATTTAGACGACATTCTAGTATTTAGTAGGACCCTCGAGGAGCACCAGGGAACTCTACGCTCTCAGGCAGGCTTTAGAGCATTGGAAGCATTACCTGCTTGGGAGACACTTCAAGGTGTACTCCGACCACGAGACACTTAGATGGTTGAAGACACGGGCCAAGATGACACCTAAGTTGATCAGGTGGGCCGTTGAGATAGACCAATATGACTTTGAGCTCAAACCAGTGAAGGGCAAGTACAACGTAGTTGCGGATGCTCTGAGTAGGAGATCAAACTACTTTGGAGCCATAGTTCACTATCTGGACATAGGGAGTGACCTGCAGGAGAAAGTTAGACAAGCGTATGTGCAGGACCCTATCTATAGTGACCTCCTCAAAAAGGTTAAGGAGGCCCCAGAGCCAGAGCCAGATTACCGCACTACTGAGGGTTTGTTATTTGAGAAGACCAATGTAGTAGACCGTCTGTGCAATTCCAACAATGAGGAGATCCGAAGTTTGATCTTAGGAGAATGCCATGATACGGAGGGACATTTCGGTTGGCAAAAGACTTTAGCCAATCTGATGCACGCGTATACATGGTCGGGAATGAAGAATGACTGCATAGAGTATGTTTGCAGTTGTAAGGTCTGCCAGAGGAACAAGACCACTATGCGTGCCCCTCTAGGTCTTCTCAGACCCTTACTTACCTATTCCAGACCAGCCTGGAGACTCAGTCTCCATTGACTTTATGGATGTCGGTGTCAAGAGTAGGAACGACAAGAGCCAAGTCATGGACGTAGTTGATAGGTTTAGCAAGTATGTTATTTTTGTTCCTTTGCCCGCAGAGGCACGCACAGAGTTAGTGATTCAAAAGTTTTTCGACTCTTGGGTTAGTGAACATAGAGTCCCGTTGTGTATAGTTAGCGATAGAGATAGTCGCTTCACCAGCTAGAACTGGCAAGAACTCATGAGAGTTTATGGATCAAAGTTGTTGATGTCGTCTGGCCGCCATCCAGAGACTAACGGTCAGACCGAGCAGATGAACAAGTTCCTGCAGCAAGTTTTGCGCATGTACATTAGACCAGATCAGATTAGCTGGGACGAGATGTTACCCAAGGTAGTCAGCGCATACAATAATAGCGTGCATTTGTCCACCTGTCGCACTCCCAACGAGTTGCACAAGTCCTTTAGACCGCGTAGACCGTTTGAAGGATTGAACCGGGATCAGATTCACAGGCTACCGCCTTGTACCGCAATACAACATGAGAGAGAGATAGCCACTGTTGTTGAGAACCTCAGGAAGGCCCAGCACCGCATGATAGAACAGGCTAATAAGCATCGTCGCCCATCACAGTTTCAGGTACGCGACCTGGTTTGGGTCAAGTCTAAAGAGTTCGCACCTGAGGAGAACATCTCACAAAAGTTACTGCCCGCGTATAGAGGACCGTGGCCAGTTCTAGAAGTTAAGGGCGGAGAGGATGGACCGTCCTATACTATTGAGATACTAGTTCACCCCCACACCTACCCCGTGTTTCACGCATTAAATTTGCTACCGTGTGTCACAAGTCAACGGTTTCCCTCTAGACGGTCCATGATCCCTTCAGACATGGACGGGAGATATGACATTGACGACATTGTAGGGGAGGATGTGTTCAGAACAGGAGGTAGAGGTCGTCCACAAAAGCAGTATAAGGTCCGGTTTGCATATCAGGAACCAGAGGATGACCGCTGGTTCACAAGATCCGAACTCCTAGAAACAGCTCCCGATATAGTTAAAGCCTACGAGAGAGATCAAAAAGGTAAAGGTCCTACCTTGGACTGAGTTATTCTCGGAGGACCTCGAATTTAGGCCGGCGGGAGTGAAACGGTATTCACCAGTTCGCAGTAGCTGATGCAGATCCCAGGGCACGATCCCTAGTCCCCACCTTACTTGTGTGCAGTAGCTGTGTCGACCCATAGAGTTGAACCCGCAACCTGTGTATTTGTAACAGTTGAAAGGTTGTCGTAGGGTCCATAGGTAGCTTGGGTTCGATCTGTAGACATGTCGGATAGGAGTCCCAGTCAGGTCTAGAGGTCGTAACTGTAGCCTTCTCGAAGAGTCAGGGTCGTAGCTGCTACAATCCAGAAGGGTCGAAGTCGTAGCTGCTACAGGACCAAAAGGCCAAGTCTACAGCCTTCCAGAAGGTCTGGGTAGTGGCCTTTCGGAGTGTCCCACGCTTAGACTGAGGCAAGTGGGCAAGTGGCAAGGCAAGTGGTGGAGTCTACCCGTGCTGAGTCAGCAGTCCCAGTCCTAGGCAGTCTGGTCCAGTCAAGCAAGTACCGCATGGGACTGTGTGCACTTCGGGCATGGGAAAGGGGGCAGACCAACGCACTGCAGAAGTATAAATCAAGAGGCAGCGCCCAGCCATTCATTCATTCCTGCGTGAGCCATGCAGAAGCGCTGCCACAGCGACTTGTGCAAGGAGGTCTGCAGTGAGCCCGAAGACGAAGTGGGCTGAGAGACGAAGCTTAGCCATAGCAATAGGGTAGAGGCGTTCATAGCCGCCGTAGCTGTAGTTCGTGTTCAGTGTGTGTGTGTGTGAGTGTTCAGAGAGATGCGTGTGGGATATCGAGGGTGATCCACTGTATGCGAACAGAGAGTTGTATGGGCGCTATATCGCCATAGCCATTGAAGGTTGCCATATCTCTGAGTAATGAGTGGGCGCAGGTCGCCAGTTTGCTGTGCTACTGTTTGCATGCATGTAAAGTGCGAATGAAAGCAAGTCTGATTGCAGACCCGGCTTGACTTCATAAGGAGGGGGGGTGTTACATGCTGCGCCTACAAACAAGGGCCATTTTCAGGCCCCGTGTCGTTTCAGCCTGAACGCCTGAAAACAAGTGCCTACAGGCCCTGTGTCGTTTTAGCCTGAAAGCCTGAAAACAAGGGCCTACAGGCCCTGTGTCGTTTCAGCTTAAAACAGGGCCCTCCAGGCCCTGAGTCTTTTCAGCCTGAAACGGAGGGCCATTTTCAGGCCCTCATAAGATCGACCTGCC